CCACACCTTCCTATAATTCGCTACTATCACGGACAACTCATACGCTCTCCTGGGTTTCTTCACTCACACCATCTCATGCAATCCTGTCCTCTCCTATCGATACTCCTAATTACTCCTCACACCTCCTGTTATTATCAGCAACTAAAGCATATAACATATAACTAACTAAAAAATAATACATATAACATTCAGCTAGCTATAACTCTAAATTAGTAACTAAAATAACAACTAAGCAAAGGAAAAGTAGGAAATAATAATAAGACAGATGAGAGAAAGGGTCAGATGGCGGTAGCAAATCCTGCAGCTGGTAGAGTTGAGGGGGAATGCTTTTGTCATTTGGGAGTTGTAGTTGCTGGGATTTATGGTTAACCTACAATCAAAGAGCATTCTGAACTTCACCCAATGATGGAATTGAGTCAAACTTGGCACATAGAACTCCCATGACCAAGAGAAAATACTGGGAGGGTTTGTTGGCCATTGACCTTGGGTTTTGGAGTTGTAGTTCACCTACATCCAGAGAGCACTGTGGACTCAAACAATGAGGGATATGAACCAAACTTGGCACGTATTCCCAGATTAAGGTAACCCAAGCAATTTGTCCAAAATGCACTTTACAAGAGAGTTAGAATTGTCTGCAAACCCACTTCTCCCTAAAATATCCATCCTATCTCACCTGGACATGCCCAGCATTTTTTAAAAATTTTAACCATTACATGTGGCCCTGCCACAGGTTTTTAAATGCGTCGTGACTTTTGTTATTGTTTTGCTTTGTTATGAGTTATATTGTTGTATTGTTGCTGTGTTTTCGTTTCTGATATATTTGGGCTCGGCCTCTTGTAAGCCGCACCAAGTTCTGCGGGAGATGGTAGCGGGATATAAATAAAGGTTTATTATTAGTATTATTATACTCAAATGTGAATACTGCTGGAGTTTGGGGAAAATAGACTTGACATTTGGGAGTTGTAGTTGCTGGGATTTATAGTTCACCTAATTCAAAGAGCATTCTGAACCCTACTAATGATAGACTTGGGCCAAACTTCCCACACAGAACCTCCATAACCAATAGAAAATAAATACTGTGTTTTCTGATAGTCTTTGGAGACTCCTCTGGCACCCAACTCAAGACCCCCCCAGGGATCCAGACCCCCAGATTGAGCAATGCTGCTCTAGTAAGAAAACTCGATTCATGTAGGAATATAGCATACCAGACTATGTCATGTATAGCTTCTCCCTAATATAGTATGTCTGGATGATATGTCAACAGTCTCCATACATGAAAACATGTAAACTTCCAAACTGCCACAGTTTGATGCATACCCCCCACCCCCAGGTTTGTGAGGCACATTCCAGAAAAAGATTATTTTGCTGGGTGAAAAAGTTGATTCTCAGTTTTGAAACGTAGACGATGTGGCAGACTGCTGTATAAGGGTTAGTTGACACAATTCAATTTTAACAGTAAGGCATAGAAACTGCTTCCTGTGATGGTTCTCAGCCTTCAGTCTTCCAGGTATTTATGGTTATATTTCCCTTAATCACTGACCACTGGTCATTCTGGACAGGGCTTCTGAAACCTACAGTCCACAACAGTTGGAGGACCAAAGACTGAAGTCTTTACACTAATAGTTGTCAATGTAGACACTATTTTGAGAAGGTGAGGAAGTGTGAAAGCATATACCATTTTCTCATTCCACATAGGGTTGGAAGAAAAGATCATATTTTAAGATTTTGAGTTATATTCCTTATTTCAACTGCAGACCAGAACCACAACAGCCTCCAAACGTAAAATTTCAGACTCTCTCATTGGTCCCTTAATCAAGGCTGAACTGAAATGTGACCTCACTTTTCAAAAACATCTTAGAGGACGTTGAATCGTGGGGAAAGTGTCTTTTAATACTACACACTCACCACTCCATGAATATGTCCCCTGCTATGTTTCAACTGACCTTGCTTGCCTTCAGTGATTTCATCATATGGTCAAATCCAATAGATCACAAAGTATGATGCAGATGTCCCATTTCATGATGCAATTTCTAATGGTGGGCAGGAAATAATTCATAGTGCAATCCTAACTCAAAGATGTGCTGACTATAGAAATACGTACTGTATATGCATCTTGTGCTATTTGACCTCACAACCTCTGAGGATGCCTGCCATAGATGCAGACCAAACATCAGAAGAGAATGCTTCAAGAACATGGCCATATAGCCCCAAAAAACTACAACAACCCAGTGATGCTGGTCATGAAAGCCTTTGACAATACATTGAACTGTCCTTCTTCTTGCTGAACTGTCTACATTGTGGCATAAACCACTTTGGTCAGATGATCATAGAGATCAAAGGGCAGTGAGATATGCTAGCATCTCCTCTTCCAGTTGGGATCAACTAGTAGAAGCTTCCAAAAAAGGGAAAGCAAAACAGGAATCTGTTGTTGAAGGCTTTCGTAGCCGGAATCACTGGTTTCTGTGAGTTTTCTGGGCTGTATGACCATGTTCCAGACACATTCTTTCCTGATGTTTTGCCCACCTCTCTGGCAGGCATCCTCAGAGGTTGTGAGGTGTGTTGGAAACTAGGCAAGTGAGGTTTATATATCTATAGAATGTCCAGGGTGGAAGAAAGAACTCTTGTCTATTTGAGGCAAGTGTGAATGTTGCAAGCAGACAAGAGTTCTTTCTCCCAAATAAACCTGGCTGTGGCACAGCTGGTTGGGAGTCAGCTGCATTAAAATCACCACTGACCAAAAGATCATGAGTTTGAGGCCAGCCTGGCTCAGAGTAAGCTCCTGACTATTTGTCTAGCTTGCTGTCGACCTTTACAGCCTGAAAGACAATTGCATCTGTCAAGTAGCAAATTTAGATACCACTTTATGTGGGGAGGCTAATTTAACTAATTTACAATGCCATAAAAATCTCCAGCAGTATGCAAAAGAATGAGGAAGTACTCAATCGGTGTCACAAGTGGACGGTGAAGCGACAGTTCCCCCGGTGGCTGGAATTCAAGCATGAAGCTGGGATGTTAAATAGCCTCTGTGTGTCTGTCTATGTATGTTGTGTGTCTATGGCATTGAATGATTGCCATGTATATGTGCATTGTAATCCACCCTGAGTCCCCTGCGGGTGAGAAGGGCGGATTGATTGATTGATTGATTGATTGATTGATTTTATTTGCAGCTTTCTCATATTCTGTCTTTCTCACCCCGCAGGGGACTCAGGGTGGATTACAGTGTACACATATAGGGCAAACATTCCATGCCAATTTTGACATATAAACATATACAAACATACACAGAGGCTATTTAACTTTTTCTGGCTGCCAGGGGAGCTGTCGCTTTCATCGTCCATCTGCGATGCTGATATAAATACTGTAAATCAATAATAAATAAATAATAATAAACCTCACTTGCCTAGTTTCCAAGAGACCACTGAGGATTCCTGCTACAGATGTGGGTGAAACATCAGATGAGAATGCTTCTGGAACATGGCCATACAGTCTGGAAAACTCACAGCAATCCAAAAGAGGAATCACTTTATAACAAATCCAAACATCCTCCGGCTCAGGGGAGGCAGCCACCTTTCCTTCACAAGTCCTAGATACATTCCAGCATCCCTGGATGCAAAGAACTTGGATTCAGCACAGCTTGACCTAGATTAATGTTGACTCAACTGTCCCAAGACATCTTGGTCAGTTAGGAATTCACACATGAGAAACTATGTTTGTGCATGTGCTAATTTTGATCTCAAAATGTAAGCAGTATATTTGTATTTGTCAGCACCTACGTTACGCCTACTGAATAAACCACCCAAGTATGCAACCCAATATAGACTTACCTGACAGTAAATGCCATAATTCCACTGGGCTTACTTCTGGGCAGACACATAAAGGTTACACAACATGGTTGTCAGCCTTACTGAAAAGTTTTAGAAACTTCTTCCCAGTACAAATCCTATAGAAAATTTGCCTTCCAAACCACACAATCTAAGTAGACTTCTCAGCAGACAGAACTACAAGCATGGTGACAATCACCCATCCCACCACCCCACTCGTAATTAGAAGGAAGAAACACAGAAAGTGACAAGCACATGAGTTGGAAGCATATGAGATGAGTGAGAAAGAAGTGATGGAACCTTTCATATGGTTTGGTTTAGAGCCATTCTGGAAAGTACGCAAAGCTAAGGACATACGTGGTGATCAATATTATGTGCTTTTGCATGGCTACGGATTACGAAGTTCTCCTAATTAACGGGAAAGCATGAGTCATCACTTGATGATGTTGGTTATTTTAATGGAAAGAGTAGACTGTTGACAGGGATACAATGGCATTCCCCCACAAGAACCAAAAGGTGAGAAGTGAATTATTAGTTACCTAAATCCAATCTTACCTAAATCCAACTGTTTTTGGATTTAGGTAAGATTGGAGTCCTGGCCTGCATTTCAAAACCATTTCTTTTTTGTGATCTCACTTCTATGTAATGTCAACAAAACTTGAAACTTGACCATCTGCTTAGGTCGATATTTCACTCCTTATCCCATTATCCACAGTGGTTCAGTTCTTGCTGCTGGTATCTTCAGACATACTCATAGCAATGGAAAGGAGATGGTTTTTGTTGTACTCCTCAACCTTGAAATGTTGATTTCCAGATAAATCTGAAAGCCCCAATCCAAGCTCAAGAGGATAGGACATATTTTTTACTTATTTAACTAATGAATTTTGGAGACCTTTCATTGGAGCAGGTCTACACAATCCCATAAATCATTGAACTAACAATATTAAATCAGGAAACATAGGTTTCTAGAAATTTAGTGTCATATCAAGAATTGCTAATTAGGTGGTTGATATGTCACCTTTCAAAGGTATGTTCTGATTCTCGTATTTACATTAAACAAGACTCCCTAACCTCCTTCTCCACTTTGATTTGTTTCTTCCTGCTGGTTGGCATCTTTGCTCCTCTTATCTTCATCTTAGCTCATTGAGAGTCACAAAACGAAGAAAAACACACACTTACACGTGTCTGGTTTGTGGCAATTGTGTCCTTGTCGGAAGTACTGTGGGTTTTCGATGACAGGAATGCGGGTCATGCCTATCACAACCGTATCTGGACCAGCGTCCAACGATGAAGGCGTAGTGATCCCATGGTTGATATGATGGAGAGGACTAGCCGAATCTTCTTCTCCGCTGATCACAGCCACTGGACCTAGAAAAAGAGAGAGACATGGATGAATCATAGAATCCTAGAGTTGGAAGACACCTCGTGGGCCATCCAGTCCAACCCCCTGTCAAGAAGTAGGAAAACTGCATTCAAAGCACTCCCAGCAGATGGCCATCCAGCCTCTGTTTAAAAGCCTCCGAAGAAGGAGCCTCCAACACACTCCTGGGCAGAGAGTTCCACTGCTGAACAGCTCTTCTTACAATCAGGAAGTTCTTCCTCATGTTTAGGTGGACTCTCATTTTCTGTAGTTTAAATCAGAGGTCCTCAAACTTTCTAAACAGAGGGCCAGGTCACAGTCCCTCAAACAGTTGGAGGGCCGGATTATAATTTGAGAAAAACATGAATAAATTCTTATGCACACTGCACATATCTTATTTGTAGTGCAAAAAACCCCCACTTAAAACAACACAATAATTAAAATGAAGAACAATTTTAACAAATATAAACTCGTTCATATTTCAATGGGAAGTATGAGCCTGCTTTTGGCTGATGAGATAAAATCATTGCTGTTGTTCTTGAGTGCTTTCAAGTCATTTCAGACTTAGGTTGACCCTGAGCGAGGACCGGGTAAATGGCTTTGGAGGGCCATATCTGGCCCCTGGGCCTTAGTTTGAGAACCCCTGGTTTAAAACCATTGTTCTTCATCCTAGTCTCCACGGCATCAGAAAACAAGCCTGCTCCCTCTTCCCTGTGGCTTCCCCTCACATAATTATACATGGCTCTCATCATGTCTCCTCACAGCCTTCTCTTCTGCAGGCTAAACATTTATTTATTTATTTACTTTGCTTATATATTGCTGTATCTCAAGCCCGAAGGCGACTCACAGCGGTTCACAAACAGTAAAAACAGTAGAAACAGCAGTGGTTCCATACAACATATAACAATTGACTTAACACATTATCCATAAATTACCAATAAGCAATTACAATGCACAATTATTGCAAAAAACAACCGTACCCAATCTTTAAGCCACTCCTCATACGGTTTGTTCTCCAGACCCTTGATCATTTGAGTCACCCTACTCTGGACACATTCCAGCTTAGAGTCAACATCTCTTAAATTGCGGTGCCCAGAATTGGACACAATGTGATTCCAGGTGTGGTCTGACCAAGGCAGAAAAGAAGGGTAGCATGACTTCCCTTTAGACACTAGGCTCCTATTGATGGAGGCCAAAATCCCATTGGCTTTTTTAGCCGTCACATCACATTGTTGGCTCATGTTTAACTTGTTGTCCATGATGAAGACAACGAGGTCTCCACTGATTAGCTGTCCATCTACATCAGGAATATTTTGTATTTAGGACAATCTGGAAGGATACTTATGATGGAAGAAATGTTTGATTTGAATTTTCCACAACTCATCACATGATGCAAGAGTGGCTTACCATGTATTTATTTGTTCATGTGTTATGCATTCTGGACCATGCATTTGGCATTTTTGAATTTATAATGTGATTGCTCTGAGTCACAAAGGCAGTTATTTTAAACTAGGGATGGGTGGTAATTTTTGTCTGCTTTTACTTTTGATGAGATATTTCAGTGTTTGCTAAATTCTGAAACTTTTGATGGAAATAGTCAGAGAGTTAATATTTTTTTGGATGAAGCAAAGAGCTCGGAGCACGTAGATCTTCAATGTCCCAGTTTCAGTCCTGTGTATTCTGCAAAGTAGGTTATGTTGAATTAAGTTTGCCACCTCCCGTCTCTAAAAGGCTCCTTATCCTTAACAGCGACATGGAGAGTAGACGCATGACCTCTCCATCCTGGAAATACATCTACTTATTGATTTTGGTCACCGCAGACTGCTGAATATTCTGTTTGGCTTATTTTTTTTAATAAGAACTTGGCAAACATTTCATAATCCTTATAAATGGGATAGAAAAATGGTTACAATTAATGTGAGATGAAAAGCAACTGGCCAGAATTTTAGACAATACAACTAGACTATAGCAAATTATTGTTGAAGGCTTTCATGGCCGAAATCACTGGGTTGTTGTAGGTTTTTTCGGGCTGTATGGCCATGGTCTAGAGGCATTCTCTCCTGATGTTTTGGCTGCATCTATGGCAAGCATCCTCAGAGGTAGTGAGGTCTGTTGGAAAAAGGGAAAAGGGGTATATATATATATATCTGTGGAATGACCAAGGTGGGACAAAGGACTCTTGTCTGCTGGAGCTAGGGGTGAATGTTTCAACTGACCACCTTGATTAGCATATAGTGGGCTGACTGTGCCTGGACCACCAAATGCAGCATTGCCCAAACATGAATCAAGGAACGTGAAAGGCACTGCAGACAACTTCAACCAGAGAAGTCAGCCATAGCAGTGGCCTGGAGAAGTACCTATTGATCTATTCACATTTGCATGTTTTCAAACTGCTAGGTTGGCAGAAGCTGAGGTTGACAGGGGAAGCTTATGCTGCTCCCCGGATTCAAACCTGCGACCCTTCGGTCAACAAGCTCAGCAGCTCAACGCTTTAACCCACTGCGCCACCAGGGGCTCCATACATAAAACCATACAAACCAATAACACCAATAAAAACATAAATCCTCAGTGTCTCATTAGTTAATCATTATCCAATTGCATTGTCCGGTCATTCCATAGATCTAGATTTGTCTGTTGCACTGGATTTTGTTGAACCACCTCAACTGGGCTCTCCAGGCCAATGGAGACTCCACCTCAAACATCAGAAGAGCTGCAAGACCAGAAAAAGCCACGCAAGTCAAGATGAAGATCCACCCAGAGGAAAAGTGTTCTTGCCATGCATCAAGGGAACCACTGACCGCAGAGGGAAGCTGATGAGGAAACACAACATACAAACTATCTCCAGACCCACCAAGAAAATCCAAGAGGGATCCTCTCACCTCTGCAGGAGTCTACCATATACCATGCAGCTGTGGACAAGAAGTCTCCAGAGGGACCACCAAACGCAGCCGCATTGCCCAAACACGAATCAAGGAACATGAAAGGCACTGCAGACTCCTTCAACCAGAGAAGTCAGCCATAGCAGAGCACCTGAGGGACCAACCTGGACACAGCATATTATTTGAGAACACAGAAATGCTGGACCACACCAACAACCACCATGTCAGGCTACACAGAGAAGCCATTGAAATCTACAAGAAGCACGTGGACAATTTCAACAGAAAGGAGGAAACCATGAAAATGAACAAAATCTGGCTACCATTAGTTAAAAACTCTAAAATTACAACAGCACAGAGAGGAAACAAACAAGGACATCTAATCATCTCTCAACAAAAAGTTTGCTCCAGGCACTGTCAGGCCATCAAATGCTAATCAAGGTGGTCAGTTGAAACATTTACACCCAGCTCCAGCAGACTAGAGTCCTTTGTCCCACCCTGGTCATTCCACAGATATATAAACCTTTTTCCTAGTTCCAACAGACCTCACTACCTTTGAGGATGCTTGCTATAGATGCAGGTGAAACGTCAGGAGAGAATGCCTCTAGACCATGGCAATACAGCCGGAAAAAATCTACAACAACCTATAGGAAATTAGTCATGGATGCAAATTTTGTTGACTATTATTAACATTTGGACCAAATCTTGGTTAGTTCTGTTGACTGAACAAGTGCACAGTCTGATACAAATGTCCAGGGGTTAACAACATTATCTACACCAGCAAAACAATTGGGTTACAATTCAGAATATTTTTAAACACCTACTCCAAATAAACCAGACTCCAATTGCACGGACAGACACACACTTTCTATAACCACACTGTACTCATTACGAAAATACTGCTTTTCTCCCCAGCATGCATAAACCTATCAATCCATAGGCTTTATTGTTTACCTGTCAGTATAACCCAGTGTTTCTCAAATTGGGGGTCAAGACCCCTGGGTGGTGTCGCAAGGGGGTGTCAGAGGGGTCAACAAAGAACATCAGAAAACACAATATTTTCTGCTGTTCATGGGGGTTCTGTGGGGGAACTGGCCCAATTCTATCATTGGTGGGGTTCAGAATGCTCTTTGATTGTAAGTGAACTATAAATCCTAGAAACTACAACTCCCAAATGTCAAGTTTATTTTCCCCAAACTTCAGCAGTATTCACATTTGAGTATCCATGCCAAGTTTGGTCCATATCCATCATTGTTTTAGGCCACAGTGCTCTCTGGAGGTAGGTGAACTACAACTCCAAAACTCAAGGTCAATGCCCACGAAGTCCTTCCAGTACTTTCTGTTGGTCACGGGATTTCTGTGTGCCAAGTTTGGTTCAATTCCATCATTGGTGGAGGTCAGAATGCTCTTTGATTGTAGGTGAACTATAAATTCCAGCAACTACAACTCCCAAATGTCAAGTTTTATTTTCCCCAAATTCCACCAGTGTTCACATCTGGGCATACTGCGTATTCGTGCCAAGTTTGGTCCATATCCATCATTGTTTCAGGCCACAGTGCTCTCTGGAGGTAGGTGAACTACAACTCCAAAACTCAAGGTCAATGCCCACGAAGTCCTTCCAGTACTTTCTGTTGGTCACGGGAGTTCTGTGTGCCAAGTTTGGTTCAATTCCATCATTGGTGGAGTTCAGAATGTTCTTTGATTGTAGGTGAACTATAAATCCCAGCAACAACAACTCCCAAATGACAAAATCAATCTCCACCAACCCCACCAGTTTTCAAATTTGGGCCTATTGAGTATTTGTGCCAAATGTGGTCCAGTGAATGAAAATACATCCTGCATATCAGATATTTTCATGACGATTCATAACCGTAGCTATGAACTAGCAATGAAAATAATGTGATGGTTGGGGGTCACCACAACATGAGGAGCTGTATTAAGGGGTCGTGGCATTAGGAAGGTTGAGAAGCACTGGTCTAACCACTCACATTGAATTCTCATTGGATGTCTCCCCCAAATAATCTCCTTTCCGCGTTTATGTCTCAGTGCAGCATTTCAGATGGAAGTAAAACTCTAGCTCTGGTCCAAACATATAATCTCTTCCTCACATTTGTGTCTATGTGTTTCTTCCA